TGTTTCGCACCCTGACATTCTATGTAAAATCCCAACAGGAAATAGACCAGCTGCAGCACTCTTCAGGCAGTGTCTGCAGATTGTTTTCGGGATGAGATCAGATCCTGCCTGCAATTCTCGTCCCATCAGGAATATTGTCCACAGAATATAGAATCAATTCACTTCACAGTATATTTTGTGAAGCGCTTTGAGACGTCTCGAAGACCAAAGAAGGTAAGGCACTATATCAAAAGCAAGGATTATTATTATCATCTGTTGTTGCTCCTCAGAAGCAAACTTACCGACGGCAACGAGAGGCTGTCGCTGGCGTCAAAGCTCTTCCTGCGGTGAGCCCGGTACTGGTACGGAGCGAGCAGTGTGGACCTAGGTATACTCACTCTGTAACCACAAATAATAGTGTAATCAGAACCCAGCACAAGCCTCGCTCGGAGCCAGCCTGCCTCCAACACTCCTCAAGCCACTAACACAAAAAAAACTTACTAATAATAATGTGGTCATTCAATCCACGACTGTCTGTGGGACACTGCTGTGCGCAATTGGCTGCCGAGTTTCGTTCATAAAATATACAGTCAATTCACTTGCAGTATTTTCTGTGAAGCGCTTTGAGGCGTCTCGAAGAAGTGATATCAAATGCGAAGATTATTATTATTATTTCACAGTAATACAGTGTGAACTTCAGGTCTAGATCTGGCTAATGCACGAATGGAGAAAAATTCACCAAAAGCAGTAAACATAAAAACAGCTTGCATTTATATAGCGCCCTTGACAGTGGCGGAGTCTGACAGCGAGCCAGAAGGAAAGGGAAGGGGGAGGTGACCGTAAGCACGATCAAAGGGGAAGGTCTTTCGCTGGGATTTGAAAGTGGGGAGGGAGGGAGGCAAGGCTGAGGGATTGAGGGAGAGTTCCGGAGTTGAGGGAGGAGGGATCCCTGACCCAGTCTCACCGGATGTAGGCCGGCTCCTGTCGGGTGTGGGGCCTCTTGGCTTTGGGGGTCTTACACACAGGACAGGCCGCCTCGGGGTCCAGTGGAGTCACAAACAGCCGACTGTTGACACGGAAACAGTGAGAGCCTGACGGAGACACACAGCAAATCAAACGCATTTGATTCGATTCGATACAGAGTTACTGCTAATTAAGTTTAAACACAACACAAAGTGATATCCAGTCGTTGTTCCCTTGAAACTTAGCTCCATTGGTACAGACACCTGCCCCATCGCAGTTTCCTTAACACCTCTCCCCCGCCCCCTGAAACAGACCATCTCATTTCCTCAGGGCCTCAGCCTCCGGCCCTCTTTAATAATAATAACAATCCTTACATTTGATATAGCACCTTATCAAGTCTTTAAGACGTTTCAAAGCACTTCACAGACTGTACTGTCAAGTGACTTGATTATATTTTGTGGGAGAAATGTGGCAGCCAATTGCACACAGCAGTGTCCCACAAACACTCGTGGATTGAGTGACCAAATTATTATTATTTGAACGGATTATTGTCCCCGTCAACTGACTAACATCCGGGTTACAACTTACTGCTAGGTAAACAGAGGTGTATGGAGTTAGGAAACTTGCCTAAAGTTTTGCTCTGCCCGTGAACTGAACCCATGTCCTCTCACTTGTGAGGTGAGCTATGGGACTCTTCCTGTTTCCCTCTCCTTGTTTTTTCTGCTGAACTCTAAACACATAACCATCACATTCCAACTGATCTGATCTCCTCTCCTCCAGCTACTGCTGTCCTGCCTGTTTCCTGCCCACAGTGTAACACTGTGTCCAGGAGCCGGAGTCACTCACACTGGTGAGGTGTCCGGCTGGGATCCAGCTCCTCATTCTGCCAGCTTCCACTCGGACGTTCCCGGGTCCCTCTGTCCTGCTCTGACAGTAAAACACAAAGAGGTGATGGGTACAGTACAGCAGCCATCAGCGGCTTTCCCCGTTAAACGGTCACTGTTGCGAATGGTGGGTGCTGTGCCAGGGCAGTGCCGAGAAATCCACAGTTACAACAACAACTTACACAGGGCCCCTCATGCAGGATAGAGTTCCACCGAGCTGGGGGGAGGGGGAGGTAACCGTAAGCATGGTGGAAGCGGAAAGCGGAGGGATAGAGGAAATGTTAGAGTTTTGGGGCACAGAGGCTGAAAGCGTGATGATGGAACTTACTCCAAGTATTCCTCGCGGATACATTCCTCCTTGTTCACCCGACGGAAATCCTGCAGATCTGTGAAATACTGTTCAGCTCTTTCTGACAACGAGCAGTCAATGTCCATGAGACCTTAGGCACAATAGCAGTATCGCATTAGCGTTCACCTGACCAGGGTCCTGCTGTGTGTGTGTGACCACACACTGTACACTATACACTGTATCCCGAGATATTATTTCCTAACGGAAATCTATCTAATTTGTTCTTGAAACGAACAACACTTTCAGCTTCCACCATCTTCCCTGGGGAGCCTGTCCCATACATTGACAAACTTTATTATAAACACACTTGTACAAAATTTATAATACCCCCAGTTTGGGTCCAAATGCCGGACTGTTCAGCGTCTTGGGATGTTCTCCTGACGTGAAAGGCTCTATACAAATCTAACTATGTATTGTATTGTAATACAAATAAGAGGCATGTCCCTGAACTACAACCCGCGCAGATTGTAATGTTCCCAGTGTATGTTACCTGCGATCCAGTCATAGCCCAGTAATGGCTGCAGTGACCGATCACCGGCCCTCGGCACCTGCTCCTCGTCTGGCAACAAGAATGTCACCTGTCCCACACCAGCCTGGTAATCATTGACAGTTATAACGACAACAAATTACATTACATTTACACAGCGCCTTTCATGTCGGGAGGAGGTCCCAGAGTCCTGGACAGTCAAATGATTTGGACCTGAGTAGGAGTTGGGATCAGGAAGGGTGGAGGGTGGCTGAAGGCGCGGTCAAAGGGGAGAGGCAATGGATGGAAGGGAGCAAGATGAAGGGACAGCCTCAAGGACAGTCACACTGGGAGTGGGGGAGCCAAGGGTGTCTGTGTGAGATGACTGAAAGTGCGGTCAATAACGAAGTGAAATGAAGTGCATGACTGTGCTCTCTTACCCTCGCAGCGTGGTCACTAGCGGCAGCCAGAATGGGTTTGGGTTTCTCATCCTCTCTGAACAGTTCTGTCGCATGTTCGTTTCCTTCAGTCAGCAGCCGGTTCCTATAGGAGGCCGTCCTCGGCCCTGGCCCAGTCCCAGGCCTCAGCCACCCACCCTGACCAAAGGAATGTGAGAGACGGGAACAGTCCTGGGGGCTGCCGAACGGGCTCTGGGCTGGGGCTGAAGTTGCCCAGTGCCTTGGCCTTGCAGCCATTTGCTGTGCATTGGGAGCCTCTGGCTGTCCGGCCTGTCTGCTCACAGGGAACTGTCTGAAAGGAGTTGAGCTTTTAAAGACGTCCCTTCCCCTGGAGCCACTCAATGGTTGTTGGTGGAAACCGGTCGCAAGCTTTGGCCGTGACGGGGTCTTGGCCCGCGTTAGGCTCCCAAGTCTGGGGGAATTCACTGTTGATAGCTGTCTCAGGGCTGGGTTAGTCTGTACTGCACCGCGATGCCCACCAGGCTGGATATTCTCTCTGCCAAGAGCCAGCCAGGCCGGGCCACCATTGCTGGGCCTCAGTCGCTCATGCGTGGCTCTGTCCCTCCCTGGGGAGCAGAGTGTGGCTCTGGCCACGGCCCTCCTCCCCGGAGACACCCTGATCACAAACTCCTCAGGAATCCTTCCTCCGTCACTGGTTTGATCTGTCAAACGCTGACTCTTCCCCGAGGCAGCGTCGCTCTGGGGTAATGACAATAAATAATAACAATCCTTACTTTTGATGCACGTTATCGCATCGCCAAATGTCTCAAAGCTTCACCAGACTCACTATAAAGTGTAGTGACCACATGCTTTGTGTAGTGACTGGGTGTTTTGTGTAATGACTGGGTGTTTTGTGTAATGACTGGGTATCTTGTGTAGTGACTGGGTGATCAGGCCGTAGCTTCTGACACCGCGGCTCCCTTCGGCTTAGCCCGGGCCCGCGCGGGGCCCAAACCCACAGGCCGCAGCCCCGGCGGCGGGGATGTACCTGCCGCTCAAGCCCTGCCGCCCCCAGCTCCCGGCGGCCGCTCCTCAGGCGCTGCAGCTGCCGCTGGTTCTGATCCCGAAGCTCCAACAGCGCCTGACTGTAGCGCATCCCGCTCCCCGGCCTCAGGCCTCCCGCTCCCCGGCCTCAGGCCTCCCGCTCCCCGGCCTCAGGCCTCCCGCTCCCCGGCCTCAGGCCTCCCGCTCCCCGGCTGTGAGCGGCGGTTACAAGCCCCGCCCACCCCGCGCGCCAGTTGCCGGGGTGACCGCGGGCAGGGGCGGGGCCTGTTGCCAGGGTGATCGCGGGCAGGGGCGGGGCTTGTTGCCGGGGTGACCGCGGGCAGGGGCGGGGCCTGTTGCCGGGGTGACCGCGGGCAGGGGCGGGGCCTGTTGCCGGGGTGACCGGGAGACAGACAGTTGCTGCTCTCGCTGCGTCACCTGAGCACTGATGTCCACGTTGAGGTGATCACTGTTGAGAGGTCCTCCTGACCTCAAATGCCCTACAAAATATCATTGTGCTGTGGTGTTGCCCCCACCCACCCACCCCCGGGTCTGCGTCACGCGCTCCGAGACGCTGCCCCGCCCTCAAGCCTCTGTGTACGTGTGTAAGCTGTTGTTGTATCCCCGGCTCAGCCGCAGCAGTCGGGTGTTAAGTGACTGTTTGATAAGGCGCCTCATCACATCGTCGCGACATCTCAAAGCCCTTCGCGCGCTGTACCGTAAGGTGTGGCGACTGTGTATTTTGCGGGGAAAACGCGGCAGCCAATTGCGTACAGCAACGTCCCTCCCCCCCCCCCACACACACACACACACACACACAGAGCCGTGGATTGAGTCACCAAATTATTAACATTTTTAATCTCCTGAGGCTGGAAAGAGCCGAGGTTTGTGGATACAGAAATGAAGCACACAAGCGATGGTTTATATATTAATTTATTGTACGTTTTCATTTTTAAACAAATAATAGTACCAGCAGCACAAAGACACTCGCATCGGGAATCTGGTTGTGTGCATTTACTCTTCTCCCGAACTTTAAATAAACACTTTCACAACAGACTTTGTTCCAATCGGGGACTAAACTCCAGTCTGAGCAGCAGCACCGAACTCATCCGTTCTACATAATGGTCACAATCTGATCAAGGCTACACATTAGCCTCTCAGTGACATTAAACCTGACAAAACCAGGGTACAGCTGCACCTTCCTCTCAATACTCTGGGTTATACATTTGGATTAAAGAGGCTTACATTTCACAGGACTTTAGCCTTATTTAGAACAAAGTTGAAATCTTACCAGCAAAATTACTTGGAAAAACACTCAGCTTTCCCAACACAGATAGTGCATGTTTATTCCAAGAACCGCTGACGAATCAGTAGTGTCACACGGTATTTGAATGAATGCTAATGAACATCTTCCTGTTCACAGTTTATTCCCCAGACTCTCCCCGAATTGTAAGTGCACAACAGCTGGATTGATTGCTTTAAATGACACTTCCTCTCACACTGTAAGCTCTTCAACCAGTTCAAGTTTCATGGTTTTATTTATAATAAACTGCAAGCATTATAATATATTTCAGTGTCGTATTTACTATTATTTAGGGGTAGAGATTCCTCTGACAGCAACCACCTGAGGGCACAGCATGACTGGGTGGCGGAGATGGTGTGGGGTGGGGTAGGAGAATGAGTATGCACATGTTGTGCGGGATATAAGTGCAAGGTAAAGTATACCCTGATATCCAAACACTTGGCAGCAAATTATAACTCAGAATCAAACCAAACCTCAGAGTTGGTGCCCACTGAGGCTGAAAATCCTCAAAATTAAGTACAGCAGCACTGATACACTGGAAAATCACCTTGTTTTTACTCAATTATGTGGGCAAAACAAGGTGGGGGGGAGGGGGGGAGAGTTTATCTCTTTCTCTAACTCACAGTCTCTCTCACATAAAGTGGGAGTTAAATACAATGTTTTCATCAAATAAAGCAGTTTTACTCAAAGTCCGAGGTTACTTGGGGGCGCAGTCACAACCGCTCACTCATCCCTGCATACGGAACAAACCAGAATGTGGAAGATTTGACGGACGCGATAACGGCCTTTAACACAACAAGCTCCGAGTGTAAGGAAACGTCACCATTGCTGATCAGCAGGAGGACATCGACAACATGCATTTAAGTGAACTGATCCCGGAATTCAGGAGCGGTTTGGGTTTAAACTAGTCGCTTCCGAAGCTGAGAATCAACGCATCTTTACACTTTCTCCAGTCATGCATTACAGGGATTAGTCAGGAGGTAACTAACTGGTTTAATACAAGTCTCTGTAGGCCTTTACTATATGACCAGAGTCAGGAAACAAACCAGTTAAAAACCTGAGCAATTTCTGCCATTCCAGGAGCTCGGCACTTGGCTTCAGCATCAGCACTACCCCTTTCCCCTCTTCCCCCACCAGGCTCAGGGGAGCTGCTCTCATCGGCTCTGCTCCAAGTACTGGTGGGTGAACATGTTGAGTTCACTGTCTAACCAGCCAGCCTTGTTCCTGAAAGAGAACAACAATTACATTTTGTATGCAGCCTTTGACACCCTGCCAATCTGCGCACAGCGACCTCCCACAACAGCTGTGAACTCACTGGCTCACTGTATTTGTGGGGTTGTTTCTCTTGGCTCAAATCAAAAAGAGCCTGTAGAAAGGATGTCAGTGATCTGTCACAAGGGAACACAATCAGACTGCAGTCTGGAAACTTCATCCCAATCACAGACTGACATAGTTCCCAGCACAGACCAGTAATGTGATCCCCTGTCAGCTCAGTGTGTTGCTGGCACATTCGGTGAATACTTTTCTTTTCCAATATTTCTAAATTCCCTTTAAAAAGCTATTATGGATTCTACTTCAGCCAGTGTGTTTCACACACTCACCCCCCTGCACACTCACTCACCCCCCCACCCACACACACACTCACCCCCACAAACACCACCACACACACTCACCCCAAACACACACACCACACCACACTCACCCCAAACCACACACCAAACACACACCCCAAACACACACACCCCAAACACACACACACTCACCCCAAACACACACACCCCCACACACACACACCCCCAAACACACACACACTCCCCCAAACACCACACACACCCCCCAAACTCACACACACCCCCCCAAACTCACACACCCCAAACTCACACACCCCAAACTCACTCACCCCAAACACACACACACTCACCCCAAACACACACACACTCACCCCAAACACACACACACTCACCCCAAACACACACACACTCACCCCAAACACACACACTCACCCCAAACACACAAACTCACCCCAAACACACACACACTCACCCCAAACACACACACTCACCCCAAACACACACATACTCACCCCAAACACACACACCCCAAACTCACACACCCAAACTCACACACCCAAACTCACACACACTCACCCCAAACTCACACACACTCACCCCAAACACACACTCACTCAACCGCAAACTCAGGCCCAGAGCGAGGGACCCACCGGAGCAGCTTGGCTTTGCCCTGAAGCGTGTCCAACAATTCAATCTTCTTATTCAGGCCTTTAATCTCGTCGTCCAGGTTCTGACGTGTGATGTCCACCTGCTGACATAGCTGTGCAAATGTGCCAGCCAGCTCCCTGCGTGAGAGAGGTAGAAAGTCAGAGACAGGGGTAATAATAATAATAATCCCTGCATTTGCATAGAGTGCTTTTCACAGAACACACTGTAAAGTGAATTGACTGTATATTTGTGGGCGAACGCGGCAGCCAATTGCGCACAGCAATGTCCCACAAACAGTCGTAGATTGAAAATGACCAATTTACTATTGTTTTTGGTTTTGGAGGGATTATTATTAGGCTCTGTGTGGAGTAAGGAAACTTGCCCAAGGTTTCGCCCTCTGCCTGGAATTGAACTCAGGTCTCTCACTTGCAAAGCGAGTGCTCTAACCACTGAGCTACAGGACTCCACAATGTCTGCCCAGAACTCCCTGTAAGGGACAGGCAATATTCTGTTTACAATATGCTTTATTCCTGGTGGGTGAGGGGGCAGGTAAGAGTAGGGGTGGGCAAGGGAGGGGGCAGGCAAGGAGGGTGCAAGGATACTCACTGCTGCACCTGGTGACTGCAGTTAGAGCCTGTGTAGCTGACAATGAGTTGCAGCTTCTCGCTGGCGTACTCCACAAACTGGCGTTTGAACACTCGCTCCTTGGCCCTCGTCGTCCATGTCAGCCGTTCATACACATACAGGAGCCCGTACATCCCCACGCTGAGCGCGATCAGCCGCCAGCCCACGGCCTTCCACACCTGTAACACACGGCAGTTACACACACAGCGGCTATACGAGCCCAGTTACACACACTCCCATTACACACACCGGCATTACAGCACCAGCCCTAGCTGGACAGGTCACACACGGCGAGCACAGCTGCAGTGATCACTCACCACGCCTCCAACCAGGATTATTCCCATCGACGTCCGTGATGTCAGTGATGCCAATCCCGTCACCATGGAGACCATGAGTTCCTCCTGCGTCATGGAGCCCTGGGGTAGCGGCGGGAGGCTCGCACCAACTGGGGTCAGGGGCATCGGGCGCTGCACCTACGAGTGACAACACGGTGAGAGGTTTGAGGGAGTGGGAAATTGAGGAGGCGGAGTTTGAGGGGACGGGATTTGGTGGGGGGGGTGGGGGGAGTATCTCCTGTGCCAGCGCTGTCTTATACTAACCTGCTCACTGTATCCCATCAGGGCCCGGCGGCCGCCCTTTGGCCCCAGGAAGCGGTTGACGAGCATGGTCCACCCGAGCGAGAAGTGGAAGTCCACGTCCTCTTGGAAGTCGGAGCAGAGTTTGTCGCAGTTCAGGTCGTAGCTCAGGCTGAAGCGCTGGCGTGGGATCAGCGCGTCCACCTGGCCTCGCACCTTTGGGGGCAGCAGGGGCTTCAGCCCGTCTGTGAGAGACACAGAGTGTAGTGAGCACAGAGTGTAGTGAGCGCAGAGCCAGCGATCTCGTCACCGTGGCTGCACCCGCTCACACTCACCGATCATCTCCTGCTGGGTGTCCTGCAGGGTGGTCGTGATGGTCACAGAGCAGCGATCGGACATGTTACGTCCCAGCCCCTCCTCGATGTGCTTGTGCAGCTCCTGCGAAGAGCAACACAGTAGGTTACAACAACCACCTGTATTCATATAGCTCTTCCCCTCACACAGCGTAGTGTCTCACAGCGCTTAAACAATCTGGGAGAGGCCGAAGGTCAGAACAGGCTGTGACAGTAGCTTCCCAGAGGCCTAGCGCCTACCCCTCCCACCCCAGTCCCTTCCCCACACACCAGGCCTTCCCCCTCATCAGTCCCTCCCCAGCTCCAGCCCCCACTCCCCAATAGCCCAGACTCACGTTCTTGTAAACCCTCAGCACCACGGAGGAAGGATGGAAATCCATCTGAAAATCATCCACCAGAACAGAGAGGCGACGGATTTCCTCCGCCATCGCGTTCGAGACCTGAAACGCACAAAATATCATGAAATGTGAATCCCAAGGCAGCCCGGTCCCCAACTCCCTACCCTCAGCCCCTCCCTCACTCCCCTCAGCCCCTCCCTCGCTCACCTCAGCTCCTCACTCCCTCCCCTCAGCCCCTCTCTCCCTGCCCTCAGCTCCTCCCTCACTATATCACATCAGGTCCTCCCTCGCTCACTCCCCTCAGCCCCTCACCTGTCTCTCCACCTCCTCTGTGATGTGTTTGATCTTGGATTTACAGTCCTGGCTCAGTAAATCCAGCTGCTTCTCGATGAACTCCAGCCGGTCCTGTCGTTCCTCCCTCTGCTCCAAACAATGGATCCTGCAGCAAAACACAGACACACCCACGCACACACACACACACACACAAGGTTATTCCCAACTCGAACACAAGTGTAACTTGTGGTGCTGAGCGCTCCCCCCACAGCAGCCCCTTCCCCCACCACAGCCTGACACGCTACCTCTGTTCAGCTGCAGAGACGTGGACAGAATCCATGATCTGCCGGAGAGCTTCAGAGATCTGCTTGGCTCGCACCGTATGCTGCTCGAACTTGGTCTTGACGGCAGATTGCGAGATACATTCCTGCAGGGAGCACGGGACAGTTCAGAGCCAGCAATCCATCCGGCTCAGTCTATTGTACACTCATCTCGCAGTCGGGAGGTTGTGGATTCAAGCCCCCCACATCGCGGCATTGAGCTCACAGTCCAGGCTGATGCCGCAGAGCAGTGCTGGTGGCGCGACATTGTTTGAGGTACCGTCCTTCAGATGAGACATTAAACTGAGGTCCCGCCTGCTCCCTGTGCAGCCTGAGAAGCCAGTTAAACTGAGAAGGGAGTTTCTCCTGACATGCGCAAATTCATCAAATCCAAGCATCATTATTATATTTATCTCATCATCTTAAACCCTTAAGCGAGAGGACCTGGATTCAATTCCCGGGCAAGGCGAAACGTTGGGCATGTTTCCTTCCTCCACATGCCTCCACACGCATTTTTCCTTACTCCACACGCCAAGCAGTAAGTAGGAACCGGCTTGTTGGTCAATTGACGGATTGGTTTTCTGGGGGTAATAATTCCTTAATTTTTTTTATTATTTAGTATATAACCCCTTGGGTCCCACAGACAGCCATGAAATTAATGGCCAACTTTAATTGGAAGATTGTTGACCAGGATACAAGGAAAAAATTCCCTTATTTTTTCAGGTAGTGTCAGGGGATATTTAATGTGTATTTAATGACTTCAGTGTGACGTCTCCTCCGAAGGTCAGGACCTCTGTGGATGGGGCATTCCCTCTGGCATTGTGCTGGAACAAGAAGCCCTGACCTAAACTAAATTACAGAATAAAAATTCCTCTAGAGAGAGTCGAGACAGAAAAGGACAGCGACAGGCCGACACATCCACTCCCCAACCCTCTCATTCCAAGTCACTCACCTCAAATCTTCGCTCGAAGTTCTGGAATTCAAACATTCTCGCCTGGAAGCCCTCGGCCAGCGCCCCACCTGCTCACAACCACAAGCGTTAGCCTGGGCAACAACAACAGCCAACCAAAGTTCAGCACCACTCCCCACATTGGGCGCTCCCTCACTACCCAGTAACCCCATCACTCCCCTCCCTCACCCCGGCACAACCTCGCACCACCCTCCCCCAGGCACCTCTTCCCTTCCCACCGGCGACACCCCCATACCTCCCTCCGGCAGTCCTTGTGCTTTCTGGATGCGAGCGTTCAGCACCTCTTTAGCTGATACAAAGAAGATCCTGTCGCTAGCCTGTGCACGGTCCACCACCCCCAGCTCCTCCACCAGGAAACTGCTGCAGCGATCCATGTGCTGCCTCCGCACCTGCTGGGGCGGGGGGTGACAGTTACAGTCCCTGCAAGGCCATGTTGCTCCACATGGTTACGCCCCTCCCCGCAGTGCCACTCCCCCACGCCCCACTCACCTCATCCATATACTCGGGCTCAGACGCAGACGCATCCCAGCGGTTGTTCAAGATGAAAATATTAGGCTGCGATAGGCGTTCGTTCACTTTGTGAAAGAACTGCTTCTCCTAGAGAGAGAGAGAGAGCATTATATCATGCTCACAGACCCCTGGACGCTGTCTGGTTACTGAAGTTGATACGAGGTCTCAGTAACTCTTACCGTCTGCATCAGTGTCGACTCAGAGTTTGCCACCAGCACAAACACATCTGCATCCAGACAGAAGCGGTCGATCCAGCTGTCCAGCTCAGTGGTAACATCAATGCCCGGGCTGCAAGAGAGAGCAGCCGAGGTGAGCTCAGCTTAGGAGCTGGTATTGATACAGGTTAACGTGTTAGGCTGTCAACCTGGCTCAGTCGGTAGCACTTGAGTCAGAAGTTTGGGTTCAAGGTCCACGTGGGGACTTTGAGCTCGCAGTCTAGGCTGGTGTTCAGGCAGTGCTGGGGGAGCGCTGCATTGTTAAGAGTCACTACATCGAGTGCAAGGATGATTGTTTATTATGCTGAGCTGGAAGATTCTCATAGATTTGCACAAATTCTTAAATACTGTATTTTAGTCAAAATATAAACTTTAAAAATGCAGGTTGCACAGGTTGCACAGGCCGCTCGGACACAGCAACCCCCACCTCCCCACACCTCACCTGTCCATCAGCACCAGGTCATCACGCAGCAGAGCGCACTTCAGCTTCGGCCACATAACGGACACCAGGCTCCCGGCATCCAGCAGCTCATCCTGGTGTAGCGCATGTGCCAACTGGTTCACCGTCTGTGAGAGAATCACTCCCGTCAGCACGAGGCCCAAAATCACCCCCAGCTCCCTGCGTATGGATCCCCCCCAAGGGGCAGGGAGGGGGGGTGAGGGGCAGGGAGGGGCTGCGGGGAGCAGGGAGGGCATGGGTGGGGCGGGGGAAGTGGCAGAGAGGGGGAATGGCAGGGAGGGGGTGTGGGGGGCATGGAGTGGCTGCAGGGGCAGGAAGGGGGAGGCAAGGGGCGGGGGGAGCGAGGGGCAGGGAGGGAGTGTGGGAATCAAGGAACCTTAGTACCACACAGTCTAGATCCAACGCCATTAGGACTGAGCTCTTGATTATTCACCTTTATGCTCTTCTTCTCTTCCGATCCATCCGTCAGTAAATAGGATTCATTGCCATCTGTGCCCTCCACCCGCAGAAAGCAGTTTGTGGTGTGACCGATTCCTGAAGGCAGCACCTTATCCCACAGCATGGCATTAATCACCGTGCTTTTCCCATTGCTCGTCCTGCGCAAACACAGCACGTCACGTCACCATGATACCAGCCAGCCAGGCTGCATACAGTGGCATTTATACAGCGCTCTTTACTTAGAATAACATCTTGGAGCCCCTCACAGTTGTATGGATGGAGGCTGATGTGTGTGTATGTATGTGCGGTCGGAGGGTATTACCAAAGAAACCATACAGTCGGAGGAAACTCTCAGGACACCTGGGTACACCCCTACCTGCCGAAGAACGCCACCTTCATGTGCCGTCGAGCCAACACCTCACTGATACCCCCGACCTTGGACAAGTAGCCCTTTACCTCCAGCACCTGCTCCTCCATGGTGACAGGATCCAGCTCCTCATTCTGGTAAGTTTCTGTACAGACAGGAAACAGCAACAGCATTGACCACATCTGGTAATTCCTCACTCGCACGAGTGCGTGTGTCTCTGAGGCAGATCCTCCTTCCCTACCCCCACACTGCACCTCACTGTCCCCCGGCCCATGTACAGTAACTACACGTGACCAAGACCCACCTTGCAGGAAAGCCGCACTTTCCTTGATGTACGCAGCGAGCTGCTCAAAGATCCCGTTGATCTTCTTCTTGGCTGTGACAAAGTGTTTGAGCGGCGACACGTTTGCCTCCGCCATCAGTCGCTTGTCCTTTTTCCCAACTGCAACTGAGCTTGAGCGGGAGAACATCAGGGACATGGCTCTGGAACAACAACAAATTAAATTTGTATAGTGCCTTTCATGTCTGGAGGATGTCCCAAGGCTCTGGGACAGAGCAGAGATGGTCAGGTTGACAACAGCATCACAACACAAAGCCAAACTCGCTGCATTGCTTCTTCTGAAGTGTGAGAGTCACACAAACAGTCCCCTCACTGTCACCAGCACCAGACATTCATAGTCCAAATCCTTATCCTTATCCTCGCTTTGCACTCACGCACAGTAAATCACACTGTTCAGCCATAAATGTCTCAGTGCCAGCCACAGCATTCTGATCACAGAGCTGGACAGTCGCTGTACACTGCAGACGCCTGATCCACTGGCATTTCCACCAGGTAGAAATACAAAAGAAAGATGATATCTACTTATTGCATATTTACAAGATATTATATTTTGAGTAAAGGAGTGGGTGGAAAATCATGTGCAGTATAAACACCAACACAGACTCGTGAGGCTGTGTAGCCTGTATCAATGCTGTACATTGTTTGTTAATCTTTAGCAGCTAGTGTTACACTAGCATTAATGTCATGGTCACTTCACAGCTTCTTCATTATAATTTTTGCATTTGATATAGCACGTTATCATTTCAAAGCATTTCATAAAATATACTGTAAAGTGAATTGACTGTATATTTTGTGGGCAAAACAAGGCAGCCAATTGTGTGCAGCAGTGTCCCGCAGTCATGGATTGTGTGACCAAATTTTTTTTTATTTTTTTTCTTAAGGGATTATTATCCCGAGAGAAGCGATCCACCAAACGACTAACAACTGTGTTCCCACTTACTGCTAAGTCGCGTGGAGAAAGCCAACTTGCCTAAGGTCTCGCCCTGCACGGGAATCGAACCCAGGTCCTCTCTCTTGCGAGGCGAGTGATCTAACCACTAGGCTGCAGGACTCCAATTAATTATTCGTTACCAATTTCTCTTCCCAAACCTGGAGAACAGAGGCCTTCCTGCGCTGTCTTGGTTCATGCTCGCTCTGGGTGCTGCGTCCAGACCTCCCTCACACTCTCTAAACATAAATGCACATCTGGTCACGCACGACTCTCGCTCCTGCCCTGATGTCCAGCCCCAGCCTCGGGGCTGCCTCGTCCACGCCTTGTAATAATAATCCTTGCATTTGATATAGCGCCACTATCACATCTTCCGCACGTCTCCAAAGTGCTTCACTGTAATGTGAATTTACTGTATATTTTGTGCACGAAACAGTGAGCAGTTCACTGAGTATGGACCGAGCGGGCAACCGGACCTTTACCGAGCGGGTAACCGGACCTTTACTGAGCGGGTAACCGGACCTTTACCGAGCGGATAACCGGACCTTCACTGAGCGGATAACCGGACCTTCACTGAGCGGATAACCGGACCTTCACTGAGCGGATAACCGGACCTTCACTGAGCGGATAACCGGACCTTTACTGAGCGGATAACTGGACCTTACTGAGCGGGTAACCGGAGCGGGTAACTGAGCAGATTCGCCACACTCACTGATGGCTTTAGCTGAGATGCTCACAGTGAGCGCGCGGGGCGGGTTCGGGCGGGTTCGGGGCCTCGGGCCTCTGTCTGACCTTGTGTTGGCGGCGGCGAGAGCTTCACCCTGTGGCCAGGCCTCGGCCTCAGCCCGGGCGGTAGGCGGCTCAGGCGGGCGGTCAGCGGCGAAGGGAAAAGCGGCGGCTCGGGGGTGGTGGTGGTGGCGGGGGGCGGGGCGGGCCGGGCCGGGCCGGGGGGCCGGAGGCTGCGGTCAGTGGGCTACTCCGGGCTGCGGCCTCCCCTCAGCGGCGCTGCTTCCCGGCGCCATCATTGCGTCATCACTGTGCGCCACAAGCGGGCGGTCAGGTCACTGTGAGCGATGACGACCTGTGGTGTCAGACCTCAGCGGCAGTCAGTCAGGGCATGAAACCACCTCGAGGGGGGGCAGGACCCTGGGGGGGGGGGGGGGGCAGGACCCTGTGGGGGGGGGCAGGACCCTGTGGTGGGGGGGGCAGGACCCCGTGGGGGGGGGCAGGACCCTGTGGGGGGGGGCAGGACCCTGTGGGGGGGGCAGGACCCCGTGGGGGGGGGGGGGGGCAGGACCCCGTGGGGGGGGGGGGCAGGACCCTGTGGGGGGGGGCAGGACCCTGTGGGGGGGGGCAGGACCCCGTGGGGGGGGGGGGCAGGACCCTGTGGGGGGGGGCAGGACCCTGTGGGGGGGGGCAGGACCCTGGGGGGGCAGGACCCTGTGGGGGGGGGCAGGACCCCGTGGGGGGGGGGGGCAGGACCCCGTGGGGGGGGGGGCAGGACCCTGTGGGGGGGGCGGCAGGACCCTGTGGGGGGGGCGGCAGGACCCTGTTGGGGGGGCGGGGGCAGGACCCTGTGGGGGGGGGGGGCAGGACCCTGTGGGTGGGGCAGGACTCTGTGGGGGGACAGGACCCTGTATGTGGGTGGGGGGGACCCAGGACCCAGTGGGGGGGGCCCAGGACCCTGTGGGGGTTGGGGGGGGCAGGACCCTGTGGGGGGTCCCAGGACCCTGTGGGGGGTGGGGGGGGCAGGACCCTGTTTGTGGGTGGGGGGGGGGAAGGACCCTGTTTGTGGGTGAGAGGGCAGGACCCTGTATGTGGTGGGGGGCCAGGACCAGGACCCTGTGGGGGGGGCCAGGACCCTGTATGTGGGTGGGGGGGCCCAGGACCCTGTATGTGGGTGGGGGGGACCCAGGACCCAGTGGGGGGGGGCAGGACCCTGTGGGGGTTGGGGGGGGCCAGGACCCTGTGGGGTTGGGGGGGGCAGGACCCTGTGGGGGGTCCCAGGACCCTGTGGGGGGGGGGGAAGGACCCTGTGTGTGGTGGGGGGCCAGGACCAGGACCCTGTGGGGGGGCCCAGGACCCTGTATGTGCAGCACAGTCATCAGCAGCCAAAAAACAGGAACTGGGTGATCAGAAAATATTTTATTTCAAAACTAACTGTACAACATAAAAGCTCCAGAGCTCTACAAACAGCTGCACCCACATCTATACACATGTAATTTGTTGCTGTTATTGTTTACAGCCCAATTTCCAGCCCAGGAGCCTATGTTTGACTAAGATTTGGGGTCAGGAGGACGTCCCAAAGCGCTGGACACTCAAAAGATCCACACCCTGTTTAATTCTACCCAATTGTACTCTCTCTGCGCACAGTTAAACATTGGGTACAAAGGGCGCTATAGAAGTGTAATTTGTTGTAATTTGTTGTAAACATGCAGTTAATGTGTGATAGCTCATGGGTGGCTTCCAGGGCGGTCTGGCTCACATTACATTTTTTTAAAAATCAGGGATGTGGTAGGAAGGAGAGGAAGAGAGAGTTAACTTTATCTTGGAATGCAAACTTTACATGCGAAAGAATGTGATATCCTTTTTTGGGGGGGAAAAAAATTGGAAAACTGGAAAAAAATGATTTTATTGGAATGGACTATATGATAGTCTGTATGAAACAATGTGCATCTTTCTTGTTTGGGAGGATATCTGGATGTGTTTCACACACAGCTGATGGGAAGAGAGGGAGAAAGGTGGAGGGACTCTGGGATTGAGTTGCTGTGAGTTTCAATTTTCAAATGACTTATAAAATCTTAAAAGTTGATCAACTGGGAGATAGGGAATCAGTGGAGCCAAGCAATGAGCTGGTGCAAGGGGAGGACATGGGCTGCAGAATGCTGTTTGGCCTGCAGGGAGGAGCTGGGAGTTGGAATAATGGAACCTGATCCTTATCACTGCTAATATTCTGATTAAATATTTCTGGTTGGTCCTATTTTCCTCTACTACTTGATTGTCACGTAGAAAACTATAAATGACATTGGAACATTGTTCAACTGCAAAACAGTCAAATAAAACAGAAGAAAGTAATGTAAGAAGCTACGGTGAGAAAGCTGGTGCTGGTTTAATATATAAATACTGGATATGTTAGTGTTGCGCACCCACTGGGACACATGTCTCTGCAGAACCTGGTAAACTGAAAGTCATACTGACTCGGTTTGGGATCTCTATTGTGCTCTAATCTAATTTTCACTGAATGCATCGCAAGATGCCATGTAAACATAGATATTCCATCCAGAGTTCATAGCCTGACACAGGAGAGTGGGTGTCCCCGGCCTGCAGAGTGCATGTCCATTCTCTTATTACACACAAAAATAAAATTAACAGCTGATGAGAATTCTGACTAACTATTCCTTTGAGAAGCCTGCAGAGTTGTATCAGCCACGAGGCACAGTGTTAGAGCAGGGATATTGGTGCTATGTTGATTATAAAGCACATTGTTCCTGCAGCTACTCCATGTTTTTATTAAGGGTCAACAAAAGAGACAACAATGTATCGTGTCCCATTGACAGTTGGAAGACCCTCATGGTAATGAGTTAGACGTCCGGGATGCAGAATGGCCCAGCCTTTGCGAGGAGCCAGAACAGAACAGTTGTACCTGATAAACCTGCAGCCGCCTCCCTGCAAGAGAAAGAGAAAGTCCTCAGTGATAGCATCAAATCTTCGGGGTGTAAAAGAACAGAGGCTAAACATAAAAGGGTTGCAGAATTTAAGCCCAAATGTCATTGTCTTGTGGATCTTTGAGTGTAAACGTTTATTCATGACTAGGTCTCATTCCTGCTCAAGGCATAGAAACTCAGTCAGCAGTGGAGGAATAGACAGTCAGTGTTGAAGCAGTGGCCAATCCCCAGCACAAGTTGTACAGAATATTGGTCATGCTTCGTGTCACTTACAGTCACAATCCGCCGTCTCTAATCAACCTTTCCTCCCAAAGTTCTACCAGACTCACTCACCAGGTTTACTTGTTATATCCTCTCCTGTACTCTGTCAGCACAGGATGTTTAGTACTTGAACAATGAAAAGTAGGAAAAACATTTAACATGAAACATTCAACATGAAGAGAAATAACATTGGTATTAATATACTGGGGAATAGGGCAGCCCCCTCCCCAACAGACAGGCACAGACTGACACACCCAGACATACACACACAATTAGACACATACCAGACAGCAAGAAAGTTCAGCATGGACCAGTGATAGTGTCTGATGACATTACTATGTCTCAGCACTTTTTGCAGGGTCAGATATTGGTTACATGCAGGAGAGAAAGAGGATGGTTCCTGAGATTACTGTACTCACTTTGGAAATGTAGATGAGCAGCACCCCAAGGAGATGAGAGCAGCTGCCCAGGTGGACTAGACTAACTCTCAGTCTCCCCTCATCCTCCCCATTACAAAAATCTTGCAAGTTTCTCCCATTTCCCTTCTCTGAAGTGATAATGCCCTGCAATCCAGCAACATCCCACTGTATCTCCCACCACTTGCACTGTGGCTGTGCATACTCACACCCACATATCAATGGGAAAGCACACATTGCACTAATTACTTAGGAATAACTCTTCTCTCTGGAAATATTTGTTCTTAAAATGGAAAAGGACAAAACACACAGTCAGACAGACAGAGACAGTCTGATAGACATTGTCAAGCAGAGGACAGACTGAGGTGTTTTGAGATGACATCTGAAAGACACAAGTTAATTTCATAAGTGTTTGCTGTTGTATCCAACTAGAATATTATCCGACAAACATTAACATTGCAACCCACATTGAGCTATCTCTGGCCTATAGCTGGGCCAAGCGGGCAATGAAAAGGCTGATCTGATCTAGTGTGGAGTCTGTTTCCTAAATGACCTAAATATTCAATCACACATTTACCAGTGAAATACAGTACAAAGCCAGGCATAATTCTTTCTGACAAATGACAGACAAAATGATTATTAGAAATAATAGACTAAGAAAAGCAAAACTAGCAACTCTATTGTGATAACACATGAAAGAGCTCAGGTCTTAGCACCCAGGATCTGACTACACAAAACCTGGAAACCTAGTAAACTGAATTATGGACACAATTTCCTCATGACACATTATTGTTGAAACATCAACCCTTACTCTGTGCAAACTGTTGTCAATGGGAACACACCACACCATGCAGTCACTGAACAAGGAATATTTTGCCAACCCTATCCAGCTCACCTCAAACATCCTTCAATCAAACATTCCAAAAGTCCGGGAGCAACAACAACAAATTGCATTGATATAGCGGCTTTCACATCAGGAGGACATCCCAAGGAATTGGACAGGAATAAATAGACTTGTGAAAATCCTTCAGAGGTTCGGGTGGGGAAACTGTCCTCTGGCAACGGGAGCCATGCACAAGTTCATGCTGCTGTTTGCTGTGCACAGCCAGAATTTATTCACCGAGCAAACCAAACCTGCCACCTCATACACAGACATCCTAAAGAACCGCACGCCCAACTCACCTGGTAGTCATTTCCAACACTGTTGAGTGCAATGTTTAGAGTAAAGGTAGATGCGTCATGATGTGGCCTTAAGGATGGCTGCTCATCAGGTCTATACCTAACTACAAAGGCCAGATCAAAGAGCGCCTGCAAGAGACAAAAGCGGCGTGAAGCGACACATGCAGCATTCAGAAACAGTCTCCAAGGAGCAGCTCGGCCTGTCCTGTCCTGTCAGCCTCTCTGGCCATAACACTGCCTCCACCTCATCTTCTTCCTCAGCAAACCACTTGGACCTGAATACTCTCCTGTGCTACTACCAACACCACAGCCCGAGGCATGTCTCTCAGCACTGCCAAAGTCTCTCTCCTCCTGCTGTAGCTAAACCAGACACTATTGGGTTTTACCTCATAATCAATTCCTGCCCTGTTTAGAGCTATGTTTACAGTGAAGGTGGAGGCATCGTGGTGCGGCTCAAGCAAGGGCTGCTCATCAGGCTTGTATCTCACTACAAAGTTGAGAAAGGAGTAGGCCTGAGGCAGACCGACGGGCAACATGGAAGAAATAAAAGCAGCGTTAGCAAAACAGATCACAGTTTACAATTATTTCAGAACATCTATTTGATAAACATTTTGAGAATCTTACTTTAGATCGTGCTGCCTTTCCTATTGTGATTATCCACTGTGGGCCAGGTGGGCGGTGGGGGGTGGGGGAATAGAATTGAGTTCATCCCTCTGTGGCTGTCTTGGTTCAGGTGGGTCCACAGTGCTACAGGGCACTGCCAATGACAGACCAGGCAACCTGGCTCATCAGCAGGACTTGAAGGGGCAGGGATTTTTCCCAATCGACTCTTGTTATTCCTACAAGTCAAAGCCCTAATGGGTAGGGTGGTCCTGACTGCGCAAACAGACAGTGCTTTCAATGGCAACCTATCCATTTTTAGTTGATTAGATACCAGCAGTTACCCCAACACCTACTCTAGGATATTCAAACCATGGCTCTTGCCAATCTGCTCTTAATACTCTCAGGAATTAGATGAGAAGAGTGCATCCTTCCAGGCAGAGAGTGGGCGTTCTATTCCAGATACAGGGACATTTCCAAGTGTAGGTGGCATACATATATGGAATTCTGTCTGGTTTGAATAGTCTTAAGCATAGCAAGTTTCTGCGTGTGTCAGACACCAGACTGATCACGGTGATGGATTTCCGTGTGTGTCAGACATCCGGCTGATCACAGTGACGGATTTCTGCTTGTATCAAACACCTGGCTGATCACAGTGATGGGTTTCACACAAGGCTGGGACAACTGTTCCTGTTTATGTGCGGTGCAAGGTCTCTCAGAGCAAACTGGAATTTACCTTCAAATGGCCACAGCACAGCCCTGACTCATCAACAGGTGCTGTTTCTCAGTGGAGAGCATTGAAACGGCAAAGCGCAGTCTATCACTGGTAATAGTAGCAATACTGTTGATTACTCAGTAATTACCGACCAGCCATGAGGGTGACTTCCTCCCTCTCAACTGGTTCTCGGTCACCATCGAAGATGGATCTCTTGTTCAGCCTGGCTGTAACTCCAGACCGCTGATGGACAGAGAGCGGATGCCCTCTGCTGCTTGTCACACCTCACTGCTGCTGTGTGAGATGCTGAGGAGAATGTTACTGTACAAAGAGCAAGGTCACCTTGGTGTAGTAGCCCGGATAGATCTTCTCGGTCAACGTAGCCACGTATTCCTGGAGGAATTTCTGCCATTCTTTCTCGAACCCAATCTGATTCATGTGGATGTCAATGGTGGGCACGTTTTCGTATCCGCCCTGAATCCTCGCGTCCTGGCAACAGACAAACAACTCAATCAGATGGTACAGGGGAGGCCAGAGCCAGGGTAATGTGGATACTGAGCGCGCTGTCTATCCTGGCTCTCTCACCCGATTGCCTCCACTCGACCACTGTCCAAAATGCTCCATCTCCTCGACGATATCGTCGCAAGCCCGTTCGGAGAAAATCGGGAACCAGTAAACATCTGGGCATGGCTGCAAGAGAATACAACAGTCTCAGCCACACACACACACAGCGCAGATACACATACACCCACACACAAACACACAGCCACACACACACATAGGCAAACGCACTCATAGCCACACACACATAGCCAGACGCACACACATAGCCACACACACTACTCAGCCTAACCCGCAATTGACACAGCCACTCTTTACCTCCTCCAGGATCTTCTTTTTCACCACTGAGCTCCAGTTTGTGTGAATGTATTTCTCCTCCCAGTCCTGCAGGTCAGCATAAAAACACCATATTACCCAACACCTGTCTCCACAGCCTACACAACTATCACTGCTACTGACCTGGGAGTGTGGAAGGACAGTGTAGAGGGAGCGTTATTCTGTCTGTAACACACGCTGTCGCTGACTTTGGATTGCTGGATAATCTTTGCTTATACAACCAGCTTTCAGTGAGTTGAGATACGTTACAAAGTACCAGTTGGAAGCAGAGGTCATTCATTACCTGTGGGTTTTCAAAGATCTGCCACAAATCGTTGTGCAGGTGACTGGTCTGGTAATTGGTGGTGGAAAGAATGCGACCGAACTCATGTCTGTTTGTGACATACATGAAAATACCCTGGAGAGAAGGAAATCAGTTAGAATCTACAGTGATTCCTGTAGCTCAGTGGTTAGAGCACGTCTCGCAAGCGAGAGGACCTGGGTTCGATTCCCGGGCAAGGCAAAACGGTAGGAAGGTTTCCTTACACCACACGCCTCTGTTTACCTAGCAGTACATAAGAACCTGATTGTTGTTGATCGTCGGATTGTTTTTCTGTCAGTAATAATCACTTTGAAAATTATATTTAAAAAATAATAATTTGGTCATTCAATCTGCGACTGTTTGTGGGACATTGCTGTGCGCAATTGGCTGCTGCGTTTCGCCCACAAATATTCACTTTACAGTCAATTCACTTTACAGTGTTTTCTGTGAAGCGCTTTGAGATGGATCGAAGATGTGATAAGGCGCTGCATCAAATGCAAGGATTATTATCATTATTCATACAGGCACGAGCACACACACCATAGACAGTCTAGTACAGTGTGCAGGATGTCACTCGGGAGCTGCCCATCTCACCTTGTTCCTGAGATTGTAGCAGAAAGCCATGTCCACGTCCAGCCGGCCTGCGTGGAACAGATCTTTCTCGCTCAGATGGGAGCGCAGCAGGTATCCGTGGATCAAGTACACGCTGGAGATGTACGGAACATTCCAGACCCCGCTGCGGAGGAGAACCATAACTTCAGCGAGCAGCAGCAATCAACCACAACATTACGCTTCCACTTCCACATGAAACAAAAAGCTTGAAGCGGTACACAGAATCCGGTTTGTTAGAGACCTGAAGCGAGGCAACGACAACAAATTACATTTGTATGGCGTTTAACACACAGTGTTATACTGAGGGGCTAGAACCGGTTTCCCCTGTAACTTGCGATGGAAATCCCAAATTATTGTCAAAATAAAACGGATGAACTGAAAATAAATACATTTAAAATTTGATTAATATCCCGTGTTCTCCCGGGGTCCCTTTTACCCCAGTTGCTGAATCCCTGGAGCAGATACTCTCACCTTGTTCCATCTCGCCCCCCCCCCCCACTCCCTCCACACACACTAATGTACAGCCCTAATAGCTGGGAACAAGACAGGTCCGACTATGGCTCTGAGCATAAGAGGGGTGAAAGATCACTCACCTTCTCCTGCCTTGAACAATATCCACATAATCCTCGGAGCGAGCGTAATAGTTATCTGCGCTCAAGGCGCCCCAGAAGTTAGACCACAGCTTTCTGTGCCGGCTGACCAGGGGAGCCAGGACAGGCCTACAGAAGAAGAAACGTGGGGAACATCATTATCCTGTGATAATAATCCTTGCATTTGATAAAGTGCCTTATCACATCTTTGAGATGTCTCAAAGAGCTTCACAGACTATACTGTCAAGTGAATTGGCTGTATATTTTGTGGGCACACACAGCAGCGTCCCACAAAGAGTCGTGGACTGAGTGACCAAATTATTTTTTATTTATTTTGAAGGGATTACAACCAGGTTCCTACTTACTGCCAGGCAAACAGAGGTGGGTGGAGTAAGGAAACGTGCCCAACGTTTCGCCCCGTCCCGGACTCAAAGCCACATCCTCTCGTTTGCGAGGCAAGTGCTCTAACACAGCTGACATCTGTTGTCCGCCATCAAAGTCCCCTTCAGTCTGATCCCAATGCTCACTCCCCAACATGTAACCACTGACCTGTTTTGCTGGATCAGGATTTTCAGGCTCTCGGGATTTGGCAGCACCACCTCAATATCAAGACTCAGATAATAATCGCACGTCACGTCCTGCCGGCACAGGTCACTGCAAGCAGACACAGCGGTTCATTGGTACCTCAGCAACTGCAAGACAGTGCATAGAGTGACAGCACACACACACACACACACAGACACAGATGTGCACACACACACACGCACAGATACACACAGACAAACACTCATCGACACAAACATCATGCAGTTTCACTCACTCTGGCACAGACGCTCTCTCTCCCGCTCTGTTACTCACATGCCCATGTTCCGCCCCTCTGCATTGCTGAGCTTCTCCTCTGCTCCCACCAGTTTTACCATTTGGTATTTGTCTCCATGTTGCTCCATGAATTGCTGCACAAGCTTCTCATGATGAGCTTCCTGCACACAGAACACAGTGTGAGAGGAGGAGCAATATCATTAGAATAGGCGTCTCCACAGCCCTTGTACATGGTACGCAATCAGCCTGCCCAGAGCAACCTCCCTCTGGATTCACCCTGAATACCCTGTATAACGACTCCATCTTAGCCCTCAGCCACTTGTAAAACAGCGTTAGAGAGAGAGTAACGATGAACGTTACTCTGACTGGAAGGACGTTTATTAGATCTTTGATTTATCAACGTTGCAAAATGTCCCGGGTGAAGCAACAAGAATAAGTTTCTAATGATGGATCTTCTTTCCTCTCTTCCCATGAGCTTCTCGACGTCCTGCAAAACAAATGAACAGAGGAGTGAGGAGCAGCGAGGCCGGCACTCACTGTGTTGTGGATAAACACTCGCAGACACTCTTTCGGGTAGTCCAAATTCACCAAACGCTCAACAAATTCAGATGTGAAAGGAGTCCCCTGCTCGATGAAGATTCCGATCAGGACTACAGGGTACTTGCTCTCCTGTGTTCAACAGAAAGCACAAACACATGTGGTAGTAAGTAACAACAACAACAACAAATTACATTTGTATAGCGCCTTTCATGTCAGGAGGACGTCCCAAACAGCTGTAGGAATGCTCTATACCGTGTGATACAGGCACTGTGATGTCTTTCCGACGTGAAGGGCACTAGACAAGTATAATTTATTTTTGTAAATTACAGGATTCACAAAAGGATTTGGAACCAGCGAGTCACAGGTGTGTGGTGGCTGGAACTCGGCACAGACCCCAAAGTCACACGTTGGCGTCTGAGGCAAGGTCCATGCGATGGATGTGCTTCTCACCTTCAGTCCTGCCAAACTGATCGTATCTTCGTCACACACGGTGCAGCCTGTTTCGAAGGTCCACACCTTCGGGATGTAGTTTCCCAGATAGTTTAGTTGCAGCTTCAAAATAAAAATATCAATGTCAACGTCAGGTTTGGTTTCAGAGGTAGGGTTGTGTGATCTCTGTTACGCAGACTCTATGTGGAGATTAACAAAACGCCATCTGCTTACCTTTGTGGGCCCGTTCCCGTGAACAATCACCGGCAGAGTGTCGTAGGCCACGTTCCTCGCCCTCACCCGTCCGTCCTCAAATTTCAGAACCACTTCATCTGTCAATCACAGGAGATACAAGCGGCTGTGTTAGAAACTCACAGAGCCAGTGAGCTCAGCAGACAGCAGCCAGGGAGAGGGGGCAAACTAAGTGAGAACGAAATGTGGAGCAGAGGAGATTTATAGAGAGTAATTTCTCCTGGGTGCAATGTCTGGAACTAATGAAGGAAGCGATTGGCATAGGTTCAATTTCTTTATTGCTGCATTTAAACTATGCCAAGCGTCAAAGCCACATTGTGTTTGAGGTTTAATTGCTGTGTTGTATAACACAACGATGATAATGTTCTGGAGAGCATCCAGCCCCATTTGCCCAGCCCCACTTACCCAGAGCACCGTTCAAATTCTGGAATATCCGACACCGGTGATCGAGGGTGATATTCAGCTTCTCCTGGGAACAGGGAAAGAGGAAATAAGAATGTAATGTGTGAAAATTAAGGTCCGTGAACACTCTGTCAATACAGAGCGAGTGATGTAGTTCGTGGACTGACCCAATCACATAACAACCTGAGCTCAGGATCGCTGCTTCTCTGCTCCTGTCTCTTCCTTTTTCTACAGCAGCTGCTATTCCAACAACAACAACAACTTGCATTTACGGTATTTAGCGCCCTTCACGCAGGATAGCGTCCCAGATTGCTTATTCCCTCCCCGCCCAACTCCTCCTTCCTGTACTTGATGAGCTCTGTACTCCAATCCCATTCCTTGCTCTCTCCCCATCGTGTCTGTGCTGGTGCTCGCTCCCCCATTGAATCAAATTAGGAATGAGCTTCTAGAACATCGGTGTTTTCACAGAAACTCTTAATGGTGCGGGTTCTTTCATTCCCACCCTCTCTCCCTCTCCTCACCTTCTTCTCTGAGTCCAGGAAGATTTTTGTGTAGAAAAGCTGGTCGTCATCATCGTCCTGCAGGCTCCAGGGCTCTATCATCTGGTAAACATTGTCCGCGAAGCCGATAAACCCTGAACATCCCAACAATGGAAGTGTTAAAATCACTTTCCGTCAATCAAACTGATAAGGTGATGGGGTACACACAGGGGATGGGGTACACACATGGGGATGGGGTACACACAGGGGATGGGGTACACAGGGGATAGGGTACACACAGGGGATGGGGTACACACTCGGGCAATGGGGTACACACACATAAACAGAGAGGGAGCTGATGTTTCAGATACAGTATGTGGTATACTGTTGCAGACAGCATGACTGTGTAAAGAGCTAACACCCACCTCCAGAGTTCAGGAAGCGTTTGCCAATGCGCACGTGTGGATACTGGGCCTCCAACTGCCGGTTAGGCCAGGCAAACGCTTCAGCCGCAAAGACAACGCGATGCCGGGATTGCTGAAACTTCTTCAGTAGCTCCTCGGGGCCGGAGGCGAATATCACATCGTAGCTGGAGAAGTAAGGAGGAGAAAATAATAATAATCCTTGCATTTGATACAGCGCCTTATCACGTCTTCGAAACGTTGGGGACAAAACGCGCCAGTCAATTGCGCACAGCTGTGCCTACAAGCAGTCATGGATTGAGTGACCAATTATCATTATTATTTTTTATAAGGAATTATTAGCCCCGGAAAAGCGATCCACCAATTGACTAACAACCGGGTTCCTTACTTACTACCGTAAACAGGCGTGTGGAATAAGGAAACTTGCCCAACGTTTCGCCCTGCAGGGAATCGAACCCAGGTCTCTTGCTTGCGAGGCAAGTGCTCTAACCACTGAGCTACAGGACTCCACCTGAGGACAGGCAGCAACACAGCCCCTGGTATCAGTGCACGTACCTCACCCCAACCCAACAACACACAAACCATCCCTCTGTCTGGTCACTGGAGGCTGAAAATAACAATAATCTGATACAGTGTCTATAAAGCGACACAGCCCAAAGGTCTTCACTGCTAATTGCTGTCAACAGTGACTATTTGTGTTGGAAACGCAGCAACCAATTTGCACGCTGCAAGGTCCCCACACCTCCGAGAAGTAAATTACCAACTTATTTGAGGGACTGTTGGCCAGGACACCAGAAGAAATTCCCTTCTCGTTTTCCTGTAGCACAATGGGAATTTTAACGTCCACCTGAACAGTCAGACGGGAATTTAGTTTAATGGCACATGGCTTCTCTGATAGTACATTGCTCCTCCCAGTAACAAGTACTTCAGTGGAATGTCTGCCTAGACTGAGCTTGTCGGCTATCTGCACTTAACCTTCTGACCCAGAGGCACATTGCTACCAACTGAGCCAAAATAACACAGGATAATAATAGTAGTAATAATCCTTGCATTTGATATAGCGCCTTATCACATCTTCGAGACGTCTCAAACACTTCACAGAACATACTGTATATTTTGTGGGCGAAACGCGGCAGCCAATTGACACAGCAGTGTCTCACAAACAGTTGTGGATTGAATGATCAAATTATTATTATTTTTTGAAGGGATTATTCCCCCATCCCCCCCAAAAGCAATCCGTCAATTGATTAACAACCGGGTCCCTAGGTAAACAGAGGCGTGTGGAGTAAGAAAACTTGCCCAATGTTTCTCCCTGCCCGAGAATCTAACCCAAGGTCCTGTCACTTGCGAGACGAATGCTCTAACACTAAGCTACAGGAGTCCACTAAGATGACACAAGAAGCTTAAAATGATTTCATCACTGAGCTTTGCCAATACCTATCAACAAACAGAATGACCAGATCTTCTCTTGCGGCATACGGTTTCAGAGCAGGCTTGAGAATCCGGACTTTCTGCCCTCCGCCCACCGTTCTCTTCACATCACCGCCCTTCCACTCCTCACCCAGACCGAACACCTGGCACAACACAACACAACGGCATTAGTGTGTCCTTTACGCCACTCCGGCTGATCTGTAAAAGCGGAACATTTACTCGGTCACCGTGCTACAAATTTCATCCCAAGGCAGGAATTACCATCAATAATTGAGCCAATGTTTGGTGAATAGAGAACATCGATGTGTCAGCCTCGCATCCTGTTCTCAACCCTCAGAAACTCCCTCAGGTGCCCCACAGCCTCCCAGCCCCACCCCCAGCCCCCATCTCTCCTGATTGACTCCTCCTGTTTACAGCTCACAAGGAATCAAGCTCACACACTGGCATCACCTTAATTGTGTAATTGAAGAATTTTGCAGATCTGAAGAATCGCTTGAATCCATCTGTCTCCTCCGTGGCCACCGTGACAACCAAGAGATTCTCTGCAACAAACAACAGCAACAAATTATATTTACACAGCGCTTTTCATGGCAGGAGGACATCCCGAGGCGCTGTACAGTCAGGAGACAAACAGTGCCGAGGAGACAGAGATCAGTTTATAATAATAATAGTAATCCTTGCATTTGGTCTAGTGCCTTATCAGGTCTGCGAGATGAAACGTTGATGCTAAACTGCGAGAGTTTAGTATAACTTACCTATAAATACACAATTACTTGCACCCATCTGGGTTTCCCTTTGAAACCCTGTGAGATATTTTGATGTTATCGACACTACATTAATATTATTATAAGGATTGTTATTATAATACACTGAATGTGCGACCAACACTCTGGAACCTTGGGCTCTTGGAAAGAGAGATACTCGTCAGGCAACATAACATCAACTACAACAAATTATGTTTGTAAAGCCGCTTTTACACAAGGAGGATGTCCCAGGCAGAGCCAGCACAGCTCCTCACAGCACCTCATTCACAGATTGCTGCTGAGGTCAAATTCCTGAGCTCAGAGAAGCTGTTTGGACTTGCATGTTTTCAGCAAGATGTTATACAATAATATTTGAGGATGGAATGAATGATGAAAGACTGGATAATTGAAGCACAGACTGGATAAAAGAACTTTTAGCACAACCTATTGTGGACTCTCTCTCTCTCGGGTGCAGATCACCTCGGCAGCTGTTGCTCACTGAGCTGTGCTGGTGAAAGAAGAGCCAGTGTTTCCACCATTGGCGGGCGGGCCTTCAGCCTCTCTGCCCCCACCCTCTGGAACTCCATCCCTCAGTCCCACTACCTCTCTCGCTCCCTTGCCCCTTCAAGACTCATCTCAAGACCCTCCGCTTCGACTGTGCCTTCGGTCACCCTCCTACCCCTACCCTCCTGGCCCTCCACTCTTCTTGATCTCAAACCCCAGCTTGAGTGCGGATCCCTAACTGTCCAGTACCTTGGGAAGTCCTCCTGACACAAAAAGCGTTGTGTAAATGTAATTTGTCGCTGCTGTTGTTGTTTGCCTCAAATATCATATTAAGAGCACAAAATACCCCGGCAGCTGCACACTGGATTCGACATGTCTGTGCACTAACTAATGCTGATTTTTAGACTCTGCTCAGTAACGTGTCAAGTTAGTTTTTGCCAGATTCTCAACAATCCTTACATTTGATATAATGTCTCATCCCATCATCAAGACATCTCAGAATTATTGTAAAGTGGAGATAGTAACCGTGTATTTTGTGGGTGAATGCAGTTTAGTGCCTCATCCAAAAGATGTGTATGGAGAATAATAATAATATTCCTTACATTTGATACAGCGCATTATCATGTCTTTGAGACGTCTCAAAGCGCTTCACAGAATATATTTCAAAGTGAATTTGACCATATTTTGTGGGCACAATGGGGCAGCCAATTGCACACAGCAGTGTCCCACAAACAGTCATGGATTGTGTGACCAATTTTTCTTGGAAGGAATTAATACCTCCGGTAAAGTGATCCGCTAATTGACTAACAACCAGGTTCCTACTTATTGTTTGGTAAACAGAAGCGTGTGGAGTAAGGACACTTTCCCAAACGTTTTGCCTTGCCGGGAATCGAACCCAGGGCTCTCGCATGCGAGGCGAGTGCTCCAACCACAGAGCTACAGGACTCCAGACATCTCAAAGTAAATCAAGATGTATGAAAGTCAGACAGCCCAAATAAGGCTGTTGTATCACATGCACAAATTATTATTATTGATAATAAAAAATGGTTAAAGATGAACAGTCGGTGAATATAAGTATCATGTGTTATATGATATATACAGTCTTAAAAAATATACAGTCAATTCACTTTACAGTGTATTCTGCGAAGTGCATTGAGACGCCTCGAAGACATGATAAGGCGCTAAATCAAATGCAAGATTATTATTATTATTATTGTTATTGTGTCGTGAAGTCCTGTAGCTCAGTGGTTAGAGCACTCGCTTTGCAAGTGAGAGACCTGGGTTCAGTTCCAGGCAGAGGGCGAAACCTCGGGCAAGTTTCCTTACTCCACACAGAGCCTAATAATAATCCCTCCAAAACCAAAAACAATAATAAATTGGTCATTTTCAATCCACGACTGTTTGTGGGACATTGCTGTGCACAATTGGCTGCCGCGTTCGCCCACAAATATACAGTCAATTCACTTTACAGTATGTTCTGTGAAGCGCTTTGGGACGTCCTCCCGACGTGAAAAGCGCTATATCAAATGCAAGGATTATTATTATTATTATATCAAATGCAAGATTATTATTATTATATTATTATTATACAGAGGGGCAATGCGGGCAGTTATTCTTTTATTGCAACAACCCACTTCATTCCAGAGCGTTTCTCACAAGCGGGGGAACATCTCCGGGGAGGGAATTTCACAGCGCTTCGCTTTTCCCTAAGGAAGGCAGACAGGATTGGGAGGAACGACCACTGGGAAGCAGCCCAGTGATGGGGAGCGGCTCAGACCTCCCCTCCCCCTTCCCAATCCACGTCAGCACACAGTTGCCCACGACTCACTCGCAAATCCCAACCTGGAAACGTGGAGCAGCGACTCAACCAAAAGCCAAGTCACTGCAACTGACTAAGTCACTTCCCAATTCTTTCCTGTGCACTAAACTTTCTCCCCCTGTTCTCGCTGTGGCTTTGCGATGGGGTTATTCCCTCGCAGCTAAACTTTCCCCATCTCCCCCCCCCCCCCCCCCCACCCCCAGATGGTGGGTCTCCCAGTGCTTTGCTCCCAGACATCCATCCCCACTCCGCACCCCCTCTCCTCCTCCTCCTCCTCCAGTGCAGTGCAGTGCAAGTGCTGCGCTCACCTTTCAGCGGAGGCTTCTCCTGAGCGTCTGAGCTCCCGGTGCTGAGCAAAGAAGGGAGATTCAGGGCTACCAGCAGGAGACAGGCAGTCCGGATGCACTCCATGTCTAAACCCGTGGCTTCCCTTCGCTCTGCCTGTGAGAGTGCGCCCAGATGTGCAGAGATCCCTCCCTTCCTGGCTGATTGGCAGCAGCAGCAGCAGCTCCGAGCAGAGAGGCACCAACATCTGGCAAACTTCCCCTCCTTTGTCTGTGCGCGTTGGAATTAATGTGAATGCAGTGTCGGACAGGATTATTAATTCATTTTCGTTGCGAAATGATAGTACCTTAATTCCAGCTGTGCCCTCCTGTCCCATGAACTCCCTTCCCCTGGCACCTGGACACAGCTGGATGGCATTCCTGGGCACTATATTGGCACTGCCGCTGCGCTGCGCTGCACTGCCAGCAGCCATGGGAATCTTACAGCGAGCGTAAGAAGAAAACTTGTATTTTGCACAGCACCAATACATCAAAACAACTCAAAGTGCTTCACAGGAATTGCAGCCAGATGTCTGACACAAATGCGGAAACCCATCACCGTGCTTAAGAGTCTCCAAACCCAGATGAGATTTCCATGCATCCCCCCCCTACACGTCGAAATTCCAGAGATAGATGTTGGAATGAAATGCTAACCTAATTCCGGAAAGTATTAGGCGCATGTCGGCAAGAGCCAAGGCTTAGGAACCATAGAGTGTGCATTGGGGTCACTACTGGATTCTAACTGCATAGCTTGCCGTTGATCTTGCTGCCCAACAAGCTTCCCCACTGCTTTCCAGCTATGAGCACGCTACTCATTAGGGCTTTGGCTCCAGGGTTAACAGGAGCTGAATGGGATGACTGTGTCCTCAGTCATAAGCAATCACAATGGCAACGTGAATTAATCTGCAGTTTTGCTGCTACGACACTCCCTTTGCTCTGTGAATTGTTTCTTGAGATCTTTTAAAGTCCAACTGAAAATCAGGCAGCAAGAGGCTCAGTTTAACATTTCATATGAAAGATAGTGTCTGACAAGGCAGCACTTTCTAACGCAGTGCTGCAATGTTGATCGAGAAGTAGGGTTTAAAATCCTTACTTCTGACCCTGAAGTGAGAGTGCTGCCAATCTAACTGGGCCGACACACAAATTACCAACAACAACTTGAATTTATATAGTGCCCCTCACACAGGGCAGCGTCCCAGAGCACTCGAGTGGCGATGCACGACTCCGACCCGCGGGGAGGTGACCATAGGCACGGTCGATGAGGAAGCTCTTCAGGCGTGACATAAAGATGTAAAATGTAAGCACTATGCTGGGTCCAAATCCCTGACTGCCCAGCGCCCTGAGATATCCTCCCATCATGAAAGGCAAATATAATTTGCTGTTGTGCTGGTGACACCTCTATTCCAGTTGTAAAGATCAGCTTTTCGTGTATTCAGGGTCTGACTGTATGGGCTGTAACAGTGGAGGGGGTTTATTGCCTCGTCTCTGGCTGGAGTCGCTGTGGTATGAGAGGAGTGTTAGTCTTGAGAGACGGCGCTGAGGCACAGAGCTGCTGCTGCTCTTCAACACAGTGGGTTTTGGGGGTGGGTGGAGGTGTGAGGGGGGTGGGGGGGGGTGTGGGGGCAGAATATAAACCCCAGTCGCACTGGATCATTTTATGGATGGCAATTTAACCAGTTCAAGAATACTTGGCAAATTTCACCCTGTTACTGACAGTTCAGATTCCCAGATGAGCTTCAGGTGTTCCTGGTTTCGGGTATAAATATCCCAGGGATGTATGCAAGGAGCGGAGTCCTGTAGCTCAGCGGTTAGAGCACTCGCTTTGTAAGCGAGAGACCTGGGTTCAATCCCCGGCAGGTCAGGGTGTAACCTCGGGCAAGTTTCCTTACTCCACACAGAGCCTAATAATAATCCCTCCAAAAAAACCAAAACAATAATAAATCGGTCATTCTCAATCTACGACTGTTTGTGGGACATCGCTGTGCGCGATCGGCCGCCGCGTTCGCCCACAAATATACAGTCCATTCACTTGACAGTGTGTTCCGTGAAAAGCGCTTTGGGACGTCTCGAAGACGTGAAAAGCGCTATATGAAATGCGAGGATTACTGTTATTGTTATTATTATTATGCATTGGCTCGGCTGTGCCTGGGAGGAGGGAGCTGAGCAATGCCTGACTGCCTGAGCTCATGCCAACACACACACACAACATACATACACACACACACACACACATGTGCTGCCCACACTGAGGGTTACCGTCTGTGTCGCAAAACCCACCAGGAAGTCCATCAGGAGGGCAGTTTGCATCGCGACAGTTTCTGGTAAATTTCACCGACGGCAGAGAATCCAACAGACGGCAGGTCTTGTGAGTGTGAGAGGAGCAATAGAGAGAGAGAGAGAGAGGGTATAAATATATATATATATAGAGAGAGAGAGAGAGGAAGTGTGTGTGTGATAGAGAGAAAGATAAACAGTGTGTGTGAGAGAGAGAGAGAGAAAGAAAATATAGTGTAATAGAGAGAGAGAAAATATAGTGTAATAGAGAGAGAGAAACTATAGTGTAATAGAGAGAGAGAAACTATAGTGTAATAGAGAGAGAGAAACTATAGTGTAATAGAGAGAGAGAAACTATAGTGTAATAGAGAGAGAGAAACTATAGTGCAATAGAGAGAGAAACTATAGTGTAATAGAGAGAGAGAAACTATAGTGTAATAGAGAGAGAGAAACTATAGTCCAATAGAGAGAGAAAGAGAGGGAGACAGAGAATGCGACACACACATAAAAAAGAAAGGCTGAGACGGTGAGAATCACAGAGAGAGTTACAGATAGTCAGAGAAGGTGAAAGCAATAGAGAGAAAGGGGGAGAGAGAGAGAGAGAAAGGGGGAGAGAGAGAGAGAAAGGGGAGAGAGAAAAGGGGGGAGAGAGAGAGAGAAAGGGGAGAGAGAGACCAACAGAAGAAGAAGACCCAGATCAAAAGGAAAGAGTAAGGGAGAGAAGCAGAGACAGAAGAACGAATCCTGAGGGAGGGAGGGAGGGAGAGTGTGAGAGCACAACAGAGGAATTAAAAATTACCGAAAGAGAAGAGAGATTGTAAACAAAATTTACTCTTGAATCGTACACCGCCCTGGCCCAGGGTTTGGTAGTTGGGCTTGAACCGTGTTTGGAGCTTTGACGATGAAATGAACAGACCGTAGTGGTGTAAGGTGTTACTGATAACGCAAACCGTCTAAATCTAAAGCCCTGAATTCTGGAGGTGTTTCATTCCGATGCTTGGACTGTGCTCTGAGACCAGGAAAAAAGTCGGAAACCATATCGGTGTGTGAGGGGGTGAGCAGGAGAAATCCCCGGTTACACGTTCAGAGAGAAAGCTGAGGCTGGTGTACAAGCACAAGATGTGGCTTCAGCAGCGTTTGAAGGGACTGCCGATGCTCCTGTCAAGTAACTGGGCCCGGAGGGTCCTGGCAGGCCTGGCCTTCCTAATGATATTTTACTGGTATCTGACTTCTGAAGGTGGCTTCAGGCTGTTCTCTGCCTCTGGGGAATCCAGGACAGTGACTGGGAATTGCCTTCAGGCAGAGACCCAAAGATGGAGGCCAATTGTCGACCACGGGAACGGTCTGATTGGGTGGACTGATGGGGGAGCCCAGGAGCAGGTGTCCGGCCCAGCTGTGGTTGGCAATGGCCACTTGCTGGTGGACGCCATCTCCAATCAGCTGTGGGTGGCATCGATCTCTCCCACAGGCTCCAGCAAAGTCTACCTCACGGACTATGTGCCACTCCAAGCTCTGAAGCCTCTCAATCTTCGTTCCGCCTCGAGGGCTTTGCTGGTCCACTTCCAGGAGGGTTTGGTGCAGTCGGTGCAGTGTGTCCAGACTGGAGCATCTCACTCCTCACGAGACTGTGTGACCCTTCGTGAGGACATCATTGTCCATCGAAGTCGCCCACACGTCATACTCCAGAGGATTCACGTCTCCAATCCCAGTGACCGAGGGACAATCTTTGAACTTACAGACATAGTGCCAGCTGCAGGAAGCAAATTCTCCTCGAGTCTGGAGAAGCACGGTGATCAGGAGTTTCTCCTTGTTTCGGGGAGAGTGCTGACTGAGAAAAAAAACATTATTCTGGTGGTGGTTGCCACAAAGAAAATCGCAAGTAAACTACAGGTGACGATGAAATCTGAATTTACTGAACACGCATTATCCGTTGTGTATACGTCCGAACCGATTGATGGAACAAAATTGGAAGATACATTCAGTAAACTCAGGGAAGCGGCAAAGACGGAAATGGGAGAGGTTCTACGAATGGGAGCAGAGGAGCTTTACCAGGAGCATCAGCAGGCGTGGGGAGACTTAATTATTTCAGGTAATAAGCGAGTCGTGCAGAATTCAACAGCTGCTTGTGAGTCGCTATCACCTTATTAGAGAAAAAAAACATGTCTGTGATAACTTGCCCCAGCACAGGGCTGGTGTGGTCAGGGGTTGAGCCCTCATTCAATGCAGGCAGTAAACTAAGGGGTGCTTCCCACCTTGTGTCCTGTAGCTCAGTGGTTAGAGCACTTGACTCGCAAATGAGAGACCTGGGTTTGATTCCCAGCAGGGTGAAATGTTGGGCAAGTTTCCTTACTCCACACACCTCTGTTTACCTAGCAGTTAGTCGATTGGCAGATCGCTTTTCTGGAGTTAATAAAGCCTTCAATAAATAAATAAATAGGTCACTTCAATCCATGACCGTTTGTGGGACGCTGCTGTGCGCAATTGGCAGCCACATTTCGCCCACAAAATATACAGTCAATTCACTTTACAGTATATTCTGTGAAGCGCTTTGAGATGTTTCAAAGACCTGATAAAGCGCTAATCAAATGCAAGGATTATTACTGTAGTGTGAAGTGTGTAGTGTCTTGGCTTACTGTGGAGAGAATTGCAAGGTAAATTACAGAAGGGCAACACAAATATAGCTGCTGCACAGGGCCTGCCTGCAATTTCCTGGAGTTGTTTGACTGATGCAATTAAGCGTCCATCACGTGTATGTAAATAGTTTATTTGGGAGGGAGCGAGAGACAACAAAGCTGCTGTTTACACTGATCACATAGTTCCAGGTTTGTGTGACCTCGTGTGCTGAGTTATGTGATCTCAGCCATTTTTAGGCTTGCTGCCTGTGTCACTGCTATTAGAAGTAAGTAGTCACCATTGGCTGTGACCCCACTGTTAAACAGCTCCTTTATGGCTCAGCTATTTCCACAGGGAGAGAAGTACAGCCCTGAGAGACAGTTTGATTGCTGGTATGTGTGGAGACACAGATCTCAGCCAGGGTGCTGGTAACATGGGTTTCAATGCCTCTTTATAAAAAGGCTCTCTCACCTAATAATAATAATCCTTGCATTTGATATAGCACCTTATCATGTCATCGAGACGTCTCAAAGCGCTTCACAGAATATACTGTCAAATGAATTGACTGTACATTTTGTGGGGAGGGAGCGAGACAACAAAGCTCCTGTTTACACTGCTGTGTGCAATTGTAAAGTGAATTGACTGTATTTTGTGGGCAAAATGCGGCAGCCAATTGCACACAGCAGTGTCCCACAAACAGTCGTAGATTATTTATTTTATATTTGTTGAGTCGAGTACTGAAGAGCAAACTGGGGAAAACTTTCTGTTGATAACATAATAATCCTAGCATTTGATACAGAGCCATTCACATCAAGAGCATGTCTCAAAGTGCTTTGCAGGATTGACTGTAAAGCGTAGTGACTGTGTGCTTATTTGGAGACAGATTGTTGCTTGGTGTGTTGTGGTTGGGTTGCACTTGTTGAAAGCTGCCTCTTTGTGTTTCAGGAGTGGAGATGAGAAAGATCACAGATTCCCACACGCCCTCCAGTGTGACGGTGAACAGGACACTTTTCTACGTCCTGGCCACCTCTCCAGCTCCTCTCCTGGATATGCGGGTCGGGGCTGAGGAACGGGAGAAGCTGGAATCGAACCTGAACTATGCCGATCACTGTTTCAGCGGCCACGCCACCATGCACGCCGAGAACCTGTGGCCCGACCACATTGCCGATGTGCCCCACCTGCTGCTGCTCTCTAACCTGTGGCGGCTCACACTGCAGAAGCGAGGCTGTAAGAGTTTGGTGACCGCTGGGGCCCATGGCATGGTCCAGGGGATGGTCATGAGCTTCGGGGGCCTTCAGTTCACCGAAAACCATCTCCAATTCCAGGCCGATCCCTCTGTCCTGCACAACAGCTACTCCCTCCGAGGCATCCATTACAACAAGGATCTCATCAGCCTGGCCGTGCTGCTCGATGAGGAGGAGAAGCCCTTCCTCCACGTCTCTGTGAAGCCACAGGACGACCCCGTTAAGCTCTACGGCTGTGAGGCAGGCTGCATGAATGACCCCGTCGAGCTGACTTCAGAGGTGAAAGGACACGTGTTTCCTGTGATGGTTACCCGGCCCATCACACCCTTACTGTACATCTCAACTGACCTCACTCACCTGCAGGATCTGAGACACACACTGCACCTGAAAGCTATCCTAGCGCACGAGGAGCACATGGCTGAGCAGTACCCAGGGCTTCCCTTCCTCTTCTGGTTCAGTGTGGCGTCGCTCATCACGTTATTCCATCTCTTCCTCTTTAAACTTATCTACAATGAATACTGCGGTCCTGGGGCCAAACCCATATTCAGGAGTAAGGTATAAAGCTGTGAGTCTGTCCTGGGTGTGGCCTGATTCTGACTCTTACAATCTATTTCTCTTTGAGATGTTTCACTCTGAATGTGCAGGGCTCTCTGGGATGTTTTCTCTTTTCGGAACAGACTCTTAATCCTTTCACCGGTTTGGCACAAAGTCCTATATTTTAGAGTGAACAAATCAACTTTTCATTGCCATAACTTGATTTCTGTTTGCACTGCAGTTCAATGATTATATTAAGTGAAATCCGAGTTGCTGTTTGTGTCGGTGAGTGTGCACAGCACAGAGACAGTGCCACTGAGATATTCAGCTCACAAGCAAACATTAATTACAATACGGCGTTGCTCAATCACACCTTTGGACAAACATGCATGGGAGGGGATTGTGGGGAAGTGGCTTAAACAGGCTGAGGATTGCAGGTTGTACTCTTCAATGTAATTGGGCACAGAAGGAAATGATTAGTTCTAAATGATTTGAACTTAGTATTGGAAAAGTGGCTGGCACACGCCAAGCTCTTGGCAGTGAAGTGTAGGTGTGACTGCTCAATCGCTGGTCCGTGCCCTGTTAGTCATTTAGCTGAGCGCATCTGAAATAGGAAACCAGTTGAAATAGAAATGGATAAATAATTACTTGTAGGGTTTGCACAGTATAGTGTGTGTAATGGAGAAAGGCCAGCTCTGCTCTAACCAGCATTGGGCCCTGTAACAGTTGAAGATTTGGCTTTTGGATGATTGCTTCCCGTGGAGGAATACTGTACTGACCAGTACTCTCTGAACCGAAGGTGATTCCTGGGTCAAACAGGAGCTCATCTAGAGCTGTTGGGGAAGCATTAAAATACAAGAGAGATGGGAATGAAGGAATGTCTATGTCAAAGCATCCAGAGAAGTGTGCAATCTCTAGGCCGTTACAGTCACTTTATAATTGACCGATCAACATTAACTGAGGTCTGAACAATAATCCACACACTGACTCAGGATTCTCAGTTTCCCTGTGCCTGGCTAGTTCATCAGCACCTTTCATCCCTTTGTGTGTTGTCTTGGTTGATGGGGCTTTCAAAATAAAGGTGACAATATTCTCTCTATTCACTGTGAAATTTGTAAATATTTCTTGCAGCGGCTTGGTTTGTTGATTTGAATTCATGCTTGTGTGTCAAATTGTGTTGTATTTCACAAAGGCTCCATGGTTGTCCTTCGACACAGTTCATTTAAATCAAATGTCTAGCTTGACATTTAGAAATACCTGATTCAATGTTAAGCAAGGGGATCTGGGTTCAATTCTCGGCCGGGCAGGATGAAACCTTCGGCAAGTTTCCTTACTCCACACACACGCCTCTGTTTACCTAGCAGTAAGTAGGAACCTGGTTGTTAGTTGATTAGTGGATTGATTTTGGAGGGTAATAATCCCTCCAAAAAATGNTTTTTTTAATGTTTTCACCCACAAAATACACAGTCACTCCACTTTACGCTATATTCTGTGAAGCACTTTGAGACGTCTTGAAGATGTGATAAGGTGCTATATCAAATGCAATGATTACTATAATTTTTAATAATGCATAACTAAATTAAGGGACATTTTACATAATAAAATTGTTTTCTTTGAAATTACTCATGGAAGGATGCAGCACACATATTAGAGGTATCATTTCGAGATATGTTTTTCCTTATAATAAGCTGTGAGAAACCACATGGTTCAGGACAGTGTCAGCACTTTCCTCTGTGAAATACAGTCACCATCTCTAGACCAAACATATTTAAAGCTTTTCATGTTGCTGTCCTATTTATTCAGCACAGATTGTTTTGTATTTGGGATGTTCCTGTACTCCAATATCTTTCATTTTATTATCATTATCATTTATTTCTGTCCCTCGTGAAGGAGATATGTTAACATCTAAAGCGGAAATATTTGCAGGTTGTCTGTGAACATTCTTGGCTATGGAATGTCCGCGAGAGAGCAATTTGAAAATAGGAAAACTGAAAACACAAATTAATAAAATTCTCCTTAAGAACGCGCCAGTTTGTCTGCACTGACGCCTATTACAGTTGGGCATCAACATGAAATTACTCTGTTTGGTCTGGAGGCTTTCTTTGCTCGTTGAGGGGCAATTAGTTTCATTTTGCTAAGGCTGACTATAGTGCAGAATTTCTGATATCCAATTGTTCCTGTTTTTTTCTTTTGTCAACTGTACAGGATATCATAAACGTTTGATCAAATGATTGTTGTCCCTTTGTATCGCCACCTGCCGCACCCGTCTTGATGGACACAAGGGCACCTGTAAGTGTTTTTTTTTCCCCCCCACTCCCTGAAATGGTTGTCCATTATTTTAGAATTTAGCTGATGCCAACTAATATTCTTTTAAGGATAAATGAAGACTTTAATTTATGTTGAAAAGAATCACGAGTTGTAAATTTTAAAGTGGATGTGAATATATTTAAATTGTTTTGCAAAAAAAAAACTCTTGTAATCGCTCTGAATTGTGTTAATCCACTGTTGTCAGTTTCCGGACAAATGCTGTGTATTTGTAAAAGAGGCTGGAGTTTTTTTCTGTCAGGAATGTGCTCGTTGCTTCACCCACCACATTCTGCACAGAATGTGCCTCAGAGCACAGCCCCGTACCACCCTGTGAACCGCTGGGCAGGATAACATTCGTTCTACATGGCAAGTTGTGGCTGGGAGTAATGATAGGTTTGATGCTGCAGTTTCTGGAGAAGCTAATGGTAACCACTTGTGCAATAAACTCTTGGTTCTGACTGGCGTGGCTGAGAATGATAGAAAAACCTCACTTTTTTACCCCCACTTTCGAATATTTCACTCAACAAAACATTAACACTTTAAACCTTTTCACTCCCTGCAATCTAATGGCAGCTCTGAGGCAAGGAGACGAGACTACTGCACCTGCGTCTGTTATCAGTCCTCCCTTGTTTTTCCTTTGTAGCAGAAAAGAAGTGGAGATGAGAGAGAACTTTAAATCATTATACATAGAAGAGGACAGCACGACAAATCCCTCCTGAGTACTGCTTTCCTTCTGTTTAATTCCCATTTGATCTGCTGGTCAGTTTGCATTAAATGCTTAATGCTACCGTCTAGTTTCTCACAAATTTCTGGAACGTCTCGCTTAAGGAATGACTACAATGTTCACAAGGTTCTGTTCCTAGAGGAATTTTCCAAATTCTTAATCTTAAATTTTAAATTATTGGTCTTTACTCTGAGACCATAAAAATGTTGTGCCTCTGAGGGTGAAGGGCTGGGTGTTTGCAGAATACAATATCAGACTGAAGGCGCCTCACATCCAGTTACCAACGCTACTGCCAAATGGAGCAGTTCCAAAACTGCTGATGTGATCGACCTATTGCATTTTATTTTTTGTTACTGTTTAATAATTTTTTATGCTTACAAAGATCTGTTTGAATGATTCAAGTTATTGGAGGTAACTATCAACATAATTCTGGTGTTTTCCTTTCGCTGTTTGTTGGTTGTAATGCAGTGTAAGTGGGATTGAAACTCTGCTATGATGAAGTAGCCAGCATGGCGCTGGTATTTCTGCCTGCTGCACTGGATTAAATGAGGAACTACAAAGATGTTTCCACTGCCTCGCTTTTTTATCCCTCCCACCTGGCATCCTTGGGAAGAGAGGAAACTGAATGAGTATGTTTTGCCCTGGCTCTTGTTGAAACCAGCAGAGTACAGCAATCCCCTGATGATCAACTCAACCTGCAGCCCTTTTGCTCAAAGTTCTTAACTCCTCACTGACAATGTCTACAACTGTGGTCATTAAATAGCAATGATTTCCTCCTGTATCACAGCATTTGCTCTATCAGTAATTATACTGGGTGGAAAAAAAACAGGAGAACCATTTCTCAAGGGTTATACACTCACTAATAGTATTAAAGAACGCTAATAGTAATAAAAAATCCAAGTTAAACCATGCTCTAAAGAGGTCATTTTAGCAACAGTTTTTACTATTCATGTGCCTGAAGCAGAGGTAATAGCCTTGCCGTGGGAATCAGTTTCGTACATGATCGTGAGCGTTGTGGATGAAGCAAGCCCTTCACACATTGGATCTCAGCTCTCAGGAATACCCACATTCCCAATCACAGCATCAGGAATTCCTGGCTTACTAGTAACCCATTCCAGCAGGGGAGCATCTCTCTGCAAACACCGCCAGGCCTCTGAACACAGTCTTCCCCCATTAAGGTAATGGGAACATTTGCACTCAATCTTTCTATTTAACACCAAATGTAAGACTCGTAGCTCACAGACCAAAGGAATGACAGTGGTTAGACAGAGCTAAGATTTCAGCTAGACAGATCTGTGTTAGAGAAGTGCTAAAGACTGGTCAGCTCATGGTCCCCAGAGCAGTGTACAAGAGCTGATTGTAAAATGTAATACAAAGATAATATTTAGCATAGAGTATGCTCTACGTCTGTCTCAGTAAATTGTTTGTTTGGGTTATTAGTGGGGCTCAGCTGGCTCTCCGAGCTCCTGGCCTCTCCAGCTCCAACATCAAAAGGGCTTGTAATAGAGTGTTGTATTATTAGAGAACAAGCTGATCAGAACAGTGCAATGACAGAACAGGATGAATATTCAGCCTTGAATAGGAACTGCCAGCAAAGACCACAGTGCAGGGGGAGTTTCTTAGCCCAAAACAGAAGCAATTCAATGAGTGGAGGAGATCACTCAACAAGCAAGAGAGACAAGTCCATCTGAATTTCCTTAATTTTTTTTTATTAGTGATCGAGTTTAGGCCCCACTCAACTCCACAAACCGAATTAGACTGAAACATGTTCCTCAAGGGTTGAGACGTTGCAAAGATGTGATAAGGTGCTATATCAAATGGAAGGATTATTATTAAGGGTTGTTCCCCCCCCCCCCCCAAATTCTTTAAGCCGGAAATTATCAAAGGACAATTGCAGACCTGATGGCTGTCTTCACGACCAGCAAGTCAGGTGTCTCTGGCCGAGCAAGTTTTTATTCCCTTTGTGGCTGGGGTTGCAGATCAATTAATGAATTGGGCAAATCTTGATCAATAATCATTCGTTTTGCCCAACAGAATAGCGTTTGAGATGCCCCAATGACGTGATAAGGCGCTATATCAAATGCAAGGATTATTATATTCACATGTACAGCTCATAAGTTAGCATCTTGTTCATTCCCAATACAAAACAACATAGCACTGCAAGTAGTGACTCTGTAGTGTTAGAAGTAGGGCTCCTCTGTCCTGATCACTGACCAGAATGCATTTGGGAATATCTGTTGCAAATTCATCTCACAACAGCATTTTGGCAGAACAGGGTCATTATCACTCTGAAGTCAAAAAGACCTCAGGTGAATCTGTACAGAGATCTTGAGGTTTACTCATCAAAGACAAACAAATGGCTCCAATGTTCCTGTAGATTAGGACATAGCAAACACGGATAGACTCCACCTCTATTCATTCACCTAAAACGCAGTTTAGCAAAACAGTGCACACTCGTCTACACCATCACTTAAACAAATCAGTGTAGAACTCTCTCCTTTGATAACACATCTTTAAATCCTCTGCTGGGTGACTGACAACAGAATCCCGGAGCGAGAGTGCCAACAGGCCTATTATCCTGAGGCTTTCCAAACCATTACAGCATGAATACAAAATTGCCCCTTATTTCTGAATGCTACCTTATTGCACCTGATACATTGAAGTACAAGTTGCATTACAATGAATCGCCATGATTTATATGTATGTTTTCCTGCCTTTGAAGATGCCGCATGATTGAAGCAGTGGCTTACCTCACATCTGCTTAAAAGGTTAGAACGGCGACAGAGTAATCATTGTCGACATTCACACCACACATGTGGTTTGTTAAATAAAAGGTCTCCAACTCGTGAGACACTACTTCATTTGTTACTTAGCTCTGATTAACTCTGGACTCATGATTGTGCTAACAATCCCAAATAAAATTGGTCACTCACTTTAAGGCTGTTTGTGTGGCATTGCTGTTTGTGTGGCATTGCTGTGCACAAATTAGCTGCCGTGATCATCTACAAAAATACACAGTTGCTACACTTTACGGTACATCCTGTGAAACGCTTTCAGATGTCCTCCAAACTTGAAAGGTGCTGGATCAAATGTAAGGATTATTATTTTTATAGAAAATCCCCACGCAAGAAAAGGAGAACAGAGAAAACAAAAGGAGGATTGCTATTTTAAGAGTATGGTCAGAGGTCAGTCATGCATCCTCAAATGGGAGAAAAAAATGTTAAACATTTCAGACAAAACCACTTGGACTTGTGCTGTTGAGTTCATTCCTAAGGTCAGAGGAGAGAATCTGAGAAATAGAGTAGAATAATAATCCTTGCATTTAATATAGCGCTTTATCACATTGTTAAGATGTCTTAAAGTGCTTCACATTATGTATTTAAAGTGGATTGACTGTGTGTTTTGTGGGCGAAACGCGGCAACCAATTGCGCACAGCAGTGTCCGACAAACGGTCGTGGATTGAGCGACCCACATTTTTAAAAAAGGAATTATTGCCCCAGGAAAGCGATCCGCCAATCGACTAACAACTGCTAAGGTAAACAGAGGCGTGCGGATAAATAAAATTGAATATTAAATACGAATAAAAAGCAATAAGTTTTGAATTCCCTGCCTGGGACCTGAAGTGGTTTACATATAGCTTAGGGGAGACTGAGGCAGAAATCAGAAACAACATAGTAATAATAATTATTAATTATTGTAATAATTATTATTAATATACAAAGTGGAATAAGATGGTGGATTTCCTGTTGACAGGGTCCTGGCTGAGAGGCTGCAGAGAGCAAGATTTGCATCTCTTCCTATCCTTTCCCACGTCATATTTTCCCATTCCTATTCCATTCCCTCTCCTCCTCCTGTATTAGGGACCCCCTCCCTCCGCACTCCCCATCCCACCATCTCTCTGCCCCCCCCTCCCCTTAACCCCTTCCTCTCCGGCGCTCTGTCATCCACACAGTCGGGTTGGGAGGTTTGGTCCTGATGCTGTGTTGGGAGGCGGTGGTCCAGCACTGGGGATTCCCACACTCCCTCCCCATCACATTCCCAATTTCCAGTGTGTGGGACGAGAGGAGAGAGTCCCAGTGAGGTGTCTGCAGGACCACATCCCGAGTCTGTGGGAGGATTGTGGTTTCTCCCTCTCAGTGTGTTGCTGATGTCCGCAGCCAACAGACAGGACAGGGCCTGTGACCCCCCCTCCTCTGCAGCTAAAGCTGAAGGACAGTCGCCCCACTCCCCCCTCAGGGCAGTCAATGTGTCCGGAAAGACAGGAGCCGAGGACTCGGATACCCTCTGTGATTGTCACAGGTAAATAACTGACCGAATGGAATGAAATGAAACGAAACGAAACGGGACCACAGGAGGATTTTTCGAGTGAGAACAGCAGAATAGATGGTATTATAAAGTCGTTCTGTGTGTGTGTGTGTGTGAGAGAGAGAGAGAGTGAATGTGAGAGTGTGTGAGTGAGTGTGTAATGTTAGTGAGTGTGTGA